GCAACAGAACAAAGCTGGACAGGGAATGACTTTGACGAGCTGACAAAAGTAGGCTTCAGAAGGTCGGTAATAACAAACTTCTCCAAGCTAAAGGAGGATGTTCAAACCCATCGCAAGGAAGCTAAAAACCTTGAAAAATGATTAGACGAATGGCTAACTAGAATAAACAGTGTAGAGAAGACCTTAAATGGCCTGATGGAGCTGAAAACCATGGCACGAGAACTACGTGACACATGCACAAACTTCAATAGCTGACTTGATCAAGTGGAAGAAAGGGTATCTGTGATTGAAGATCAAATTAATGAAATAAAGTGAGAGGAGAAGTTTAGAGAAAAAAGAGTATAAAGAAATGAACAAAGCCTACAAGAAATATGGGACTATGTGAAAAGACCAAATCTACATTTGACTGGTGTACCTGAAAGTGATGGGGAGAATGGAACCAAGTTGGAAAACACTGCAGGATATTATCCAGGAGAACTTCCCCAACCTAGCAAGGCAGGCCAATATTCAAATTCAGGAAATACAGAGACCACCACAAAGATACTCCTCAAGAAGAGCAACCCCAAGACATATAATTGTCAGATTCACCAAGGTTGAAATGAAGGAAAAAATGTTAAGGGCAGCCAGTGAGAAAGGTGGGGTTACCCACAAAGGAAAGCCCGTCAGACTAACAGCGGATCTCTCAGCAGAAACTCTACAAGTCAGAAGAGAGGGAGGGCCAATATTCAACATTCTTAAAGAATTTCCAACCATCAAATAGAATTTTCAATAATCAGAATCTCATATCCAGCCAAGCTAAGCTTCATAAGTGAAGGAGAAACAAAATCCTTTACAGACAAGCAAATGCTGAGATATTTTGTCACTACCAGGCCTGCCTTACAGGAGCTCCTGAAGGAAGCATTAAACATGGAAAGGACCAACCAGTACCAGCCACTGCAAAAACATGCCAAATTGTAAAGACCATCGATGCTAGGAAGAAACTGCATCAATTAATGGGCAAAATAAACAGATAACATCATAAAGACAGGATCAACTTCACACATAACAATATTAACCTTAAATGTAAACGGACTGACTGCCCAAATTGAAAGACACAGACAGGCAAATTGGATAAAGAGTCAAGACCCACCAGTGTGCTGTATTCAGGAGACACATCTCATGTGCAGAGACACACACAGGCTCAAAATAAAGGGATGGAGGAAGATCTACCAAGCATATGGAAAGCAAAAAAAGCAAAGGTTGCAATCCTAGTCTCTGATAAAACAGACTTTAAACCAACAAAGATCAAAAGAGACAAGGCCATTACATAATGGTAAAAGGATCAGTTGAGCAAGAAGAGCTAACTATCCTAAATGTATATGCTTCCAATACAGGAGCACCCAGATTCATAAAGCAAGTCCTTAAAGACCTACAAAGAGACTTAGACTCCCACACAATAATAATGGGAGACTTAAACACCTCTCTGTCAATATTAGACAGATCAATGAGACAGAAGGTTAACAAGGATATCCAGGACTTGAACTCAGCTCTGCACCAAGTGAACCTAATAGACATCTACAGAACTCTCCACCCCAAATCAACAGAATATACATTCTTCTCAGCACCACATTGCACTTATTCCAAAATCAACCACATAATTGGAAGTAAAGAACTTCTCACCAAATGTAAGAGAACAGAAATCACAACAAACTGTCCCTCAGACCACAGTGCAATCAAATTAGAACTCAGGACTAAGAAACTCACTCAAAACTGCACAACTTCATGGAAATTGAACAACCTGCTCCTGAATGACTACTGGGTAAATAAGAAATGAAGGCAGATATAAAGATGTTCTTTGAAATCAATGAGAGCAAAGACACAACACACCAGAATCTCTGGGACACATTTAAAGCAGTGTGTAGAGGGAAATTTATAGCACTAAATGCCCACAAGAGAAAGCAGGAAAGATCTAAAATTGACATCCTAACATCACAAGTAAAAGAACTAGAGAAGCAAGAGCAAACACATTCAAAACCTAGCAGAAGGCAAGAAATAACTAAGATCAAAGCAGAACTGAAGGAGATAGAGGCACAAAAACCCTTCAAAAAATCAGTGAATCCAGGAGCTGGTTTTTGGAAAAAATCAACAAAATAATACACTGCTAGCAAGACTAATAAAGAAGAAAAGAGAGAAGAATCAAATAGACTAAATAAAAAATGGTAACGGGGATATCACCACTGATTCCACAGAAATACAAACTACCATCAGAGAATACTATAAACACCTCTATGCAAATAAACTAGAAAATCCAGAATAAATGGATAAATTCCTGGACACATACACCCTTCCAAGACTAAACCAGGAAGAAGTCAAATCCCTGACTAGACCAGTAACAACTTCTGAAATTGATGCAGTAATTAATAGCCTGCCACCCAAAAAAAGTCCAGGACCAGATGGATTCACAGCCGAATTCTACTAGAGGTACAAAGAGGAGCTGGTACCATTCCCTCTGAAACTATTCCAATCAATGGAAAAAGAGAAAATCCTCCCTAACTCATTTTATGAGGCCAGCATCATCCTGATACCAAAGCCTGGCAGACACACAACAAAAAGAGAGAATTTTAGACCAATATCCCTGATGAGCATCGATGCAAAAATCCTCAATAAAATACTGGCAAACCAAATCCAGCAGCATATCCGAAAGCTTATCAACCACGATCAAGTTGGCTTCATCCCTAGGATACAAGGCTGGTTGATCATTCGCAAATCAATGAATGTAATCCATCACATAAACAGAACCAATGACAAAAACAACATGATTATCTCAATAGATGCACAAAAGGCCTTTGACAAAATTCTACAGCCCTTCATGCTAAAAACTCTCAATAAACTAGGTACTGATGCAACGTATCTCAAAATAATGAGAACTGTTTATGACAAACTCACAACCAATATCATACTGAATGGGCAAAAACTGGAAGCATTCCCTTTGAAAACTGGCACAAGACAGGGATGTCCTCTCTCACCACTCCTATTCAATGTAGTGTTGGAAGTTCTGTCCAGGGCAAGCAGGCAAGAGAAAGAAATAAAGGGTATTCAATTAGGAAAAGAGGAAGTAAAATTGTCCCTGTTTGCAGATGACATGACTGTGTATTTAGAAAACTCCATCACCTCAGTCCAAAATCTCCTTAAGCTAATAAGCAACTTCAGCAAAGTCTCAGGATACAAAATCAATGTGCAAAAGTCACAGGCATTCCTATACACCAATAACAGACAAACAGAGAGCCAAATCATGAGTGAACTTCCATTAACAATTGCTACAAAGAGAATAAAATACCTACGAATCCAACTTACAAGGGATGTGAAGGACCTCTTCAAGGAGAACTACAAACCACTGCTCAATGAAATAAAAGAGGACACAAACAAATGGAAGAACATTCGATGCTCATGGATAGGAATAATCAATATCGTCAAAATAGCCATACTGCCCAATGTAATTTATAGATTCAGTGCCATCCCTATCAAATTACCAATGACTTTCTTCACAGAATTTGAAAAACACTACTTTAAAGTTCATATGGAACCAAAAAAGAGCCCACATTGCCAAGACAATCCTAAGCCAAAAGAACAGAGCTGGAGGCAAACTATACTACAAGGTTACAGTAACCAAAACAGCGTGGTACTGCTACCCAAGCAGAGAGATAGACCAATGGAACGGAACAGAGGCCTCAGGAATAACACCACACATCTACAACCATCTGATCTTTGACAAACCTGACAAAAACAGGCAATGGGGAAAGGATTCCCTATTTAATAAACGATGCTGGGAAAACTGGCTAGCCATATGTAGAAAGCTGAAACTGGATCCCTTCCTTACTCCTTATACAAAAATTAATTCAAGATGGATTAAAGACTTAAATGTTAGACCTAAAACCATAAAAACCCCAGAAGAAAACCTAGGCAATACCATTCAGGACATAGGTATAGGCAAGGATTTCATGACTAAAACACCAAAAACAATGGCAACAAAAGCCAAAATAGACAGATGGGATCTAATTAAACTAAAGAGCGTCTGCACAGCAAAAGAAACTACCATCAGAGTGAATAGGCAACCTACAGAATGGGAGAAAATGTTTGCAATCTACCCATCAGACAAAGGGCTAATACCCAAAATCTACAAAGAACTTAAACAAATTTACAAGAGAAAAACCCCATCAAAAAGTGAGCAAAGGATATGAACAGATACTTCTCAGAAGAAGACATTTATGCAGCCAACAGACACATGAAAAAAATGCTCATCACCACTGGTTATCAGAGAAATGGAAATCAAAACCACAGTGAGATACCATCTCACACCAGTTAGAATGGTGATCATTAAAAAGGCAGGAAACAACAGATGCTGGAGAGGATATGGAGAAATAGGAACACGTTACACTGTTGGTGGGAGTGTAAACTAGTTCAACCATTGTGGAAGACAGTGTGGTGATTCCTCAAGGATCTAGAACTAGAAATACCATCTGACCCAGCGATCCCATTATTGTGTATACACCCGAAGGATTATAAATCATGCTGCTATAAAGACATATGCACATGTATGTTTATTGCAGCACTATTCACAATAGCAGAAACTTGGAACCAACCCAAATATCCATCAGTGATAGACTGGATAAGAAAATGTGGAACAAAAATACCATGGAATACTATGCAGCCATAAAAAGGGTGAGTTCATGTCCTTTGCAGGGACATTGATGAAGCTGGAAACCATCATTCTCAGCAAACTATCATAAGGACAGAAAACCAAACACTTCATGTTCTCACTCATAGGTGGGAATTGAACAATGAGAATCCTTGGACACATGGCAGGGAATATCACACAAAGGGGCCTGTCGTGGAATGGGGCCAGGGGGAGGTATAGCATTAGGAGAAATACATAATGTAAATGAGTTAATGGGTGCAGCAAATCAACATGGCACATGTATATCTATGTAACAAACCTGCACATTGTGCACATGTACCCTAGAACTTACAGTATTTTATTTAATATATATATAAAAATAAACTTTACATCCAACCACCACTTTGGCTTTGAAGCCACTGCCTGATATTGGCACTTCGTAGATGTAGTGTGACTATTCTTATACGTCTCTATCTACTGATGAGGATCCTACTCTTTTAGTATAAACAGCACCATTGACTTTCAATCAACTAGTTTCGATAATATCTGAAACAGATTAACCTGACACTAGCCTTAGTAACCAACACCTTACTGACCCTACTAGTAATAATAATTACATTTTGACTTCCACAACTTAATATTTATATAGATAAATCCAGTCCCTATGAAGGCAGATTTGACCCAATAACCTCCAACCGCCTCCCCTTTTCCATAAAATTCTTCCTGGTAGCCATCATATTTCTCCTCTTCGACTTAGAAATCGCTCTACTACTACCCCTGCCATGAGCTGTTCAAACAAATTACCTAATACTAATAATCACCACAGGCCTTATACTAGTTATCATTTTAATCCTAGGCTTAATTACAAATGAACTCAAAAAGGGTTAGATTGAATTGGTAAATAGTTTAAGTCAAAACAAATGATTTAGACTCATTAGATTATGATAAACCATATTTGCCAAATGCCCTCTATTTACATCAATATTAGCATATACCATATCACTACTGGGAATATTAATCTATGAATCCCACCTAATATCATCCCTATATGCCTAGAAGGCATAATACTGTCAATATTTATCATAATTACCCTTATAACTTTAAATATGCATTTTACTCTAGCATCTATAATACCCATTATCCTCCTAGTATTTGCTGCCTGTGAAACCGCAGTGGGCCTTGCCTTATTAGTGTCAGTGTCCAACACATACGGCCTAGATTATGCACAAAATCTGTATTTACCTTAATGCTAAAAATTATTCCAACAATTATACTGTTACCACTAATATGATTCTCTAAAAATTATAAAATCTGAATTAACATGACCATCCACAGCCTACTCATCAGCCTCATCACCCTATTGTTTGTAACCAATTCAACAATTACTCATCCAACTTCTCACTAGTTTTCTCTTCTGATCTGCTGATGTTACCCCTCCTAATTCTAACAGCTCTTAGAATCCTAGCAAACCAATATTATCTGTTCAGTGAATTACCCCCACGAAAAAAGCTCTATATTTCTATATTGATTTCCCTGCAGATTTTTTTAAATTATAGCATTCGCAGCCACAGAACTAATTATATTTTATATTTTCTTCGAAGCCACACTAATTGCTACCCTAATTATTATTACCTGCTGAGGGAACCAACCAGAACGCCTCAATGCAAGCTCATATTTCCTATTTTACACACTGGTAGGGTCCCTTCCTCTACTTGTTACACTTGTCTACCACTTTAAATACTTCAGGTTCACTAAATATGCTAGTAATGATATTTACTGACCAAGAACTATTGACCTCCTGATCCAATAATCTTATATGACTAGCATGTATTATGGCCTTTATAGTCAAAGTAACTCTATACGGACTTCACCTGTGACTTCCTAAAGCCCATGTAGAAGCCCCTATTGCCGGCTCAATAGTACTTGCAGCAGTACTCCTAAAACTAGGCGGTTGCGGTATAACACGGCTTACCCTTATCCTCAGCCCCCTAACAGAATATATAGCCTACCCCTTCCTCATACTGTCCCTATGAGGGATAGTTATGACAAGCTCCATTTGTCTACAACAAACCGATCTAAAATCACTTATTGCCTACTCCTCCATAAGCCATATACCACTTGTCATCATAGTCTCCTCATCCAAACCCCTTGAAGTTTTACAGGTGCAGTCACCCTTATGATTACCCATGGAGTCACTTCATCCCTGTTATTCTGCCTAGCAAATTCCAACTATGAGCCAGTCCACAGTGGAATCATCTTACTTACCCGAGGCCTTCAAATACTACTTCCACTGATAGCCTCATGATGACTTCTGGCAAATCTCACTAACCTTGCCTTACCACTACCATTAAATCTAGCAGAGGAAGTCTGTGATCATGGCTTCATTCTCCTGATCAAATATCACTATTATGCTTACAGGACTTAATATGCTAATTACAGCCCTCTACTCCCTATGTATACCAATCACGACACAACAAGGGACACTTACATATTACATTAACAGTATTAAACCTTCCTTTACATGAGAAAATACATTAATATTTATACATGTTACACCTATTCTTCTATTATCCTAAATCCTCAAATTATTATGGGCTTTACATGCTGTAGCTATAGTTTAACCAAACCATTAAATTGTGGATCTAATAATAGAAGCCTGCAACTTCTTATCTACTGAGAAAGTATGCAAGAACTGCTAACTCATGCTCCCATGCCTAACAACATGGCTTTCTTAACTTTTAAAGGATTGGAGTCATCCATTGGTCTTAGGAACCAAAAACATTGGTGCAATTCCAAATAAAAGTAACAAATATGTATTTTTCCATTACTATAATTGCCCTAATCCCCTTAAACACACCAATTATTATTACCTTAGTCAGCCCCTGCAAAGATTCATACCCAAATTACGTAAAAATAGCCATCACATGCGCCTTCACTATTAGCCTCATCCCAACAACGTTTATATATACAGACGAAGAAGTCATTATCTCAGACTGACATTGAATGACAATCCAAAGTCTCACTAAGCTTTAGACTACTTCTCCATAATATTTATCCCAGTAGCACTATTTGTTACCTGATCTATTGTAGAATTCTCAATATGATATATAAACTCAGACCCTAACATTAATCAGTTTTTTAGATATTTTCCTCATTACAATATTCTGGTTACCGCCAACAACTTCTTTCAACTCTTTTATTGGATGAGAAGGTGTAGGAATCATGTCTTTCTTATTAACTGGCTGATTATACGGCGGAGCAGATGCTAATACAGCAGCTCTCCAAGCAGTCCTGCACAATCGCATGGGTGATACTGGCTTTATTTAGCTATAGTATGATTCCTCTTTTCCTCCCACACATGAGAGATTCAACAAGCATTCATTCTAAACCCTACCTCTAATCTGCCCTTCCATTAATTCGCCTTCTTTTAGCAGAAGCAGGAAAGTCAGCTAAATTCGGCCTCCATCCCTGACTTCCATCCGCCATAGAAGGCCCAGCCCCAGTCTCAGCCCTGCTCCACTCCAGCACTATAGTTGTAGCAGGAATTTTCCTACTCATCCGCTTCTACCCTTTAATAGAAAATAACCTCTGAACCCAAACCTTTACATTATCTCTAGGGGCTATTACCACCTTATTTACAGCAATCTGTGCTCTAACACAAAGTGATATTTAAAAAACCATAGCATTCTCCACCTCAAGTCAGCTGGGCCTTATGATAGTCACAACTGGCATTAATCAGCCACACCTAGCATTCCTTCACATCTGCACCCATGCCTTTTTTAAAGCTATATTATTTATATGCTCAGGCTCCATCATCCACAATCTCAATGATGAACAAGATATTAAAAAAATAGGACTATTCAAGACTTTACCCTTCACTTCCTCTTCCGTTATTATTGATAGCCTTGCACTTACAGGTATGCCTTTCCTCACAGGCTTTCAAAGACCTTATTATCGAAACTGCAAATACTGTCATATACCAACCAACGCCTGAGCCCCTTCTATTACTCTTACTGCCACCTCCTTAACAGCTGACTATAGTACCCATGTTATTTTTTTTGCTCCGAGGACTGGCCACGCGGGGGTGGGAAGGGCCTGGGCCACGCCCGGGCCGCCGCCGCCACCCACGCGCGACGCTTGGGGGCCCTGCTGCAAAGCCCCTTTTTCTGGGGGCAGGGGGAGACGCTTCATACCGCCCTGCCCAGCAGGGTTTCCAGGTCTGAGGTGCCCGCCCTGGCCCCAAGAGAATGAACCAGCCGCAGAGGATGGCGTCCGTGGACACGGACAAGAAGCTCAGTAACCTCCTGGACTTCAGCATGATGTTCCCGCTGCCCGTCGCCAACGGGAAGGGCCGGCCCGCCTCCCTGGCCGGGTCGCAATTCAGAGGTTCAGGTCTTGAGGACCGGCCCAGCTCAGGCTCCTGGGGCAGTGGCGACCAGAACAGCTCCTCCTTTGACCCCAGCTGGACCTTCAGCGAAGGCGCTCACCTTGCTGAGTCGCATAGCAGCCTCTCTTCATCCACATTCCTGAGACTGTGACTCTCTTGCCGGACGGCTAAGCCTCCTTTGGGAGAGACGCAGGCGTGGGCGGCCTGACTCAGGCTGGCTTCCTGCCGGGCGAGCTGGCCCTCAGCAGCCCCGGACCCCTGTTCCCTTCGGGCATGAAGGCGACCTCCCAGTACTACCCCTCCTACGCCGGCAGCTCCGGCGGAGAGAGGCGGACGGCGGCCTGGACACGCAGTCCACAAAGGTCCAGAAGGTCCTGCCTGTCTTCCATCCTCGGCGTACCTGCCCAGCTCAGGTGAGGACTACGGTAGGGATGCCGCCGCCTACCTGTCCGCCAAGACCCCCAGCAGGGCCTATCCCGCCCCCTTCTACATGGCAGATGGCAGGCAGCATACACCCCTCAGCCCCTCAGCCGAGGTCTGGAGTTGCCCGGGTCAGGCGGGCTTTGGCCCCATGCTGGGTGGGGGCTCATCCCCGCCGCCTCTCCCGCCCAGCAGCTGCCCTGTGGGCAGTGGCAGAGGCAGCAGCACATTTGGTGGCCTGCACCAGCACGAGCGCATGGGCTACCAGCTGCACAGAGCAGAGGTGAACGGCGGTCTCCCAGCTGCATCCACCTTCTCCTTGGCCCCCTGGAGCTGGAGCGTCTCCAGCCACAGGCCACCTGTCAGCGGGGCCAACATATTCCTGGGCTCGCGAGGGACCACAGCTGGCAGCTCCGGGGACGCCCTCAGGCAGGCATGTCCTCAATCTACTCCCCGGATCACTCAAGCAATAGCTTCTCGTCCAGCTCCTCCACTGCTGTGGGCTACCCCCAGGGTCTGGGAGGGATGTCGCACTGACCCGGAACAGGAGTCCCCGGTGCCTTATCACCCAGCTACGACCGGGATTTCCATGGCGTGCAGAGTAAGACAGAAGACCACCTGAACAAGGCCATCCACGTGCTCTGCAGCCACACCGTGGGCACGGCCGGCAATGGGCCCACGCTGCTGCCCGGCCACAGGGCGCTGGCTTAGGCTTCGCCGGCCCTATGCTGCTAGTGGGGGCAGCACGCAGGCCTGGTCAGAGGCTGACACCCTGAGGACGGCCCTGTGGGCAGCGCCAGCCTCATGCACATCCACATGGCCCTCTCCAGCTAGCCAGGCGCCCTCCCCGACCTCTCTTGGCCTCCCGACTCCTACAGTGGGCTAGGGCAAGCAGGCCATTGGCGAAATCAAGCCAGAGGAGGAGGATGAGGAGAATACATCGGCGGCTGACCACTCGAGGAGAAGGAGCTGAAGGACCCCCAGGTCCGGACCAGCCCAGACGAGGACGAGGACAAAGATGACCTTCTCCCCCGAGAGCAGAAGGCCGAGCACGAGAAGGAGCGCCAGGTGGCCAATAACGCCAGGGAGCAACTGCGGGTCCCTTGAGAGGCCTCTTAAGGAGCTGGGGGCACATGTAGCAACTGGACTCAACAGCGAGAAGCCCCAGACCAAACTGCTTATCCTGCACGAGGCCCTCTCGGTCATGCTGAACTTGGAGCAGCAAGTGCGAGAGCAGAACGTGAATCCAAAACAGCCTGTTTGAAATGGTGAGGTGTCGGGCGTGTTCGGAGACCCCCAGATGGTGCTTTCAGCTGCGCACCTGGGCCTGAGCAAAGCCCACAACCCCACCGGGCACATGTGAAAGGTACGCCTCTGTGGGACAAGCCACTGGCCCTCAGCCCGGTGGGCTGGGCCCAGAACGCCTACTGGAGGCCCTGGGCTTCATCCACATCCCCACCTCACACAACTGTTCTCAGCATTGAGCCAACATCGACCTGATTAGGCTCAGAGTGATGGGGTCAAGGAAGGTGACTCTGGGTCCAGGAGCTCCCTGGGACCCTGGCTCACCTCCCACTGGCCTTGCTCCCCTTGCCCCCAAATCTCAGTCACCATGTCACCCTGTGACCTGCCCCATGGATCCTGAAACTGCGTCTTAGCCCTGTTGTCTGGGCTGACAGGAGCTTTTTTTTTTTTTCAGTAAACAAAATCTGAAAGCAAGTAACAGAACATACAGTTTGTCAGAAAAGAAAAAAAATGCCTTAACTATAAAATGTGGAGACATCATAACATATCACTTGAGGGAGATGCTGTGAAAACTTGGCTTATTCTTCAAAAGCCAGCAGCAAATTGTGCCTAGGCATAATTTAAGGAAAATGAAAAGAACATTAGTTATCAAGAAAAAAAAAAAAAAAGCTGGACTGACCTGGGCCAGGCTGGACCAGATTGGCCTAGAGGACTTCAGAGGGCTACTCCCCTGGTAGGCCAGTCTCAGCTGACCTTCACTGTCCTGCCTCCAGACAGGGCCCATCTGTCTTCCCCTTGTTCCCCTCCTGCAAAGACATTGCCTCCGATGCCACCTCCATGACCCTGGGCTGCCTGGCCACAGGCTAGTTCCTGAAGCCGGTGACTGTGACCTGGGACACAGGCTACCTCAACAGGAGTGCTGTGACCTTCCCAGCCACCACCCTCACACCCTCTGGCCACTAGGCCACCACCAGCCATCTGACCACCTCAGGTGCATGGACCAAGCAAATGTTCACCTGTAGCGTGGTACACACTCTGTGGTCTGCAGACCAGGTCAGTACCTTCAGCGTCTACTCTAGGGACTTCGCCCTGCCCACCATGAAGATCTTACAGTCCTGTGATGGCAGTGGACACTTCCCCCCGACCATCCAGTTCCTGTGCCTCATTTCCGGGTACACCCCAGGTGCCATCACCTGGCTGGAGGATGGGCAGGTCGTGGATGTGAACTGCTCTATTGCCTCTCCCATGCTGGAGGGCGAGCTGGCCTCCACACAAAGCAAGCTCACCCTCACCCAGAAGCTTTGGCTGCCCGACCACACCTACACCTGCCAGGTCACCTATCAAGGTAATGCCTTTGAGGACAGTGCCAAGAAGCATGCAGATTCCAACCCGCAAGGGGTGAGTGCCTACCTGAGCTAGCCCAGCCCCTTCTACCTGTTCATCCGCAAGTTGCCCACAATCACCTGTCTGGTGGTGGACCTGGCACCTAGCAAGGGGACCGTGAAGCTGACCTGGTCCCGGGCCAGTGGGAAGTCCGTGGCCCAGGTCCTCCTAAGGCAAGAGAAGCAGTGCAGTGGCACGTTCATCATCACGTCCACTCTGCTGGTGGGCACCAGAGACTGGATCGAGGGGGAGACCTACCAGTGCAGGGTGACCCACCTCCACCTGCCCAGGGCCCTTGTGCAGTCCATGACCAAGATCAGCGACCGCTGTGCTCCCCCAGAGGTCTACGGGTTTGCAATGCTAGAAGAGCCGAGGAACCCAGACAAGCGCACCCTCACCTGCCTGATCCAGAACTTCTAGCCCAAGGACATCTTGGTGCAGTTGCTGCACAACAAGGTGCAGCTCCCAGACGCCTGGCACAGCATGACGCAGCCCTGCAAAACCAAGGGCTCTGGCTTCTTAGTCTTCAGCTGCCTGGAGGTGACCAGGGCCGAATGGGAACAGAAAAATGAGTTCATCTGCCCTGTGGTCCATGAGATGGTGACTGGCTCACAGACCGTCAAGAAGCTGGTGTCTGTAAATCCCATTAAATGTCCTCCTGCCTTCCTCCCCACTAGGGCTTTGTCCAGCTGTGTGGTAGGAAGAGCTGGCCACTGTTGGTAGGAAGAGCTGACCTTCTGTCCACTGTTGCAACGACCCCAGGAGGCCACCCCCAATAAACAGTGCCTGCTCAGAAACAAACAAACAAACAAACAAACATAAAAACCCTAGAAGAAAACCTAAGCAATACCATTCAGGACATAGGCATGGACAAATACTTCATGACTAAAACACCAAAGGCAATGGCAACAAAAGCCAAAATAGACAGATGGGATCTAATTAAACTAAAGAGCTTCTACATAGTAAAAGAAACTATGATCAGAGTGAACAGGCTACCTACAGAATGGGAGAAAATTTTTGCAATCTATCCATCTGACAAAGGGCTAATACCCAGAATCTACAAAGAACTCAAACAAATTTACAAGAAAAAAACAACCCCATCAAAAAATGGGTGAAGGATATGAACAGACACTTCTCAAAAGAAGACATTTATGTGGCCAACAAACATGAAAAAAAGCTCATCATCACTGGTCATCAGAGAAATGCAAATCAAAACCACAATGAGTTACCATCTCATGCCAGTTAGAATGGTGATCATTAAACAGGAAACAACAGATGCTCGAGAGGATGTGGAAAAATAGGAATGCTTTTACATTGTTGATGGGAGTGTAAATTAGTTCAACCATTGTGGAAGATAGTGTGGCAATTCCTCAAGGATCAACAGTTAGAAATACCATTTGACCTAGCAATTCCATTACTGGGTATATACCCAAAGGATTATAAATCATTCTACTATAAAGATACATGCATATGTATGTTTATTGTGGCACTACTCACAATAGCAAAGACTTGGAACCAACCCAAATGCCTATCAATGATAGACTGGATAAAGAAAATTGTGGCACATATACACCATGGAATACTATACAGCCATAAAAAAGGATGAGTTCATGTCCTTTGCAGGGACATGGATGACGCTGGAAACCATCATTCTCAGCAAACTAACACAGGAACAGAAAACCATACACCTCTTGTTCTCATAAGTGGGAGTTGAACAGTGAGAACACATGGACACAGGGAGGGGAATATCACACACCAGGGCCTGTCCAGGGGTGGGGGTCTAGGGGAGGGATAGCATTAAGAGAAATACCTAATGTGGTTGATGGGTGCAGCAAACCACCATGGCATGTGTATACCTATGTTAACAAATGTGCACATTCTGCACATGTATCCCAGAACTTAAAGTATAATTTAAAAAAAAAACAAAAAAAAAAACACTGAACATGTATTGTAGGCTTACATTGGGCTCAATGTATTTTATGGATAATCTCATTTAATCCTCATAACAACCCTTGGAGAACATGTATGATTATTATCTCTATTTTAAGCATGGAGAACTGAATAGCTTACCCAAGGTGGCATGACTAGTAAATCATTGGACTGGGATTCAAACCCAAAAAGTCTGATCCCAGAGTTCATGCTTGTAAGCCTTCCTAACCATGATAATGCTTTAATCTGGCATTAATTGTTCTCTAATTTGTGTAGGTTTGAGATTTTTTCATAATATTAAAAATACTTCTGGAGGAATGTCCTCATAATCATTAGAACTGCCTTCATCTAATTATTTTTAGAGTATAAGTGAAACTAAAAAGTAAGACTCATCTAAAAATAATCATCTCTTTTGGCCATATCTCCAGTGATACATGAATTTAATTCTTTTTATTGTTTTCAGAATGAAAAATTAAAGAGGTTAAAATTAGCTGACAATCAAGAAATATTTGTATATGAAGATCCAGAGATTTGGGTATACTTAACGAATACAAACTAATACATATTAAGACTCTACTGTGCTCCAAATACTATACAGGGAGCTAGGGATATGAAGATAGGATTCGCATCAGAAAAGAAGGACTGTCCCTTAGTTGGAAGGCTGAACTAAAAAGAAAAGTTTGATGTGATAGGCAAATTCAACTGACAGGTCCACTACCCATAGCCCCTTCCCTTTAAGAGCTCATAATTAGGAAAAATCAAATGTATAATCAAATCATTGCAATGTAGTGTGTAAGTACAATAATTAAGGTAATGGGAAAACATAACAGTACAAGTAATTCAGCTGAAGGTTTATGTAAGATAACTAAGATGACATTTCAATGATTGGTTGAGTTGGCCTCTCCCTCATGAATGGGATTAAGGCCCTTATAAGAGGCTTCATGCAGCATTTGGCCCCTCTTGACCTCTACTTTCATCCATGTGAGGACACGGCGTTCCTCTCCTCTGAAAGATGCGGCAACAAGGCTCCCCTTGGAAGCAGAGAGCAGCCCTCACCACACACCTGAACCTGCCAGCACCTTTATCATGGACTCCCAACCTCCAGAAGTGTGAGAAATAAATTTGTTTATAAATTATCCATTGTCAGGTACTCTGTTATAGCAGTGTACTTGGACTACCACAAACCCAGTAGACCACGTTAATGAGTTCAGACGTTCTTTAGTAGACAGTGTGTAAGGTGGGAAATCAGAGGCTTTATCCAGTGGAATAACATGGTGAGATTCACATTTTAGAAAGATAGCTCTACTTTTATTATAGAACAGCAGTTCTGAAAGTGTGGGGACCTCTGGGACTCCCTTTTAGGATGTCTGTGAAGTAAAAAGTATTTTCATAATAATGGATGTTATTTGCTCTTTTCACTCATTTTTTCATAAGTATAGTCTTCCAGAGGCAACAAGATATGTTTTCTATTTAACCAAACATTAAAGAAACTTGCAAAAATATAAAACAATGTGACTCTTATCAAAGTTTATTTTGGAAATAGTTATTTTTCATAAAATACATTATTTACGTTAACAGGTAATGGTTTTTAGATAAATTAATAAACACTTTTATATTTTATTAGCTTTAATATTTAATATGGTAAATACTGGTAGATATAACTCACAGAAACAAAAGTTTTTTGGCAACTTCAGTAATTTTTAAGAGTGTACAGGGAAGCCTGAGATCAAAAGCTTTGAGAACTACCGACGTAGAGGGGACATTGTATTAAGGAGAGGCTAATAGTAGAGAAACAGCTAATTAGACAGATTTTACAAGGATCTAGGTCATTGGTTTTCAAACCTTTTAAGTATATATACTCACTAAAAGAATTTTGAAAAACCACATCCTCATACATTTTTAAATTGATAGCTAATTTTTTTTAAGTTTAAGTAGTTATAATGTATTTTAAATATTGACATTTAAATAGCAGCTATGTCAATCTTTTAAATGTGTCCAACTGAATCTAAATGGTGCTCACAGTGAGCCGAGAACTCGCCACTGCACCTCTAGCCTGGGCGATAGAGCAAGACTCCATCTCAAAATAAATTGTGCATCAACTTGATACCCACTTATCACCCACTTAAAAATATATATGAACAGACTTTTTTCTTTTTTCTTTTTTTTTTTTTTTTTTTTACAAACTTTGTATCATTCCTTTTTCTCTTTAAAATTGTATTTCCATTTCCCTTCTCATTCCAAATTTTGCATAATGTGTTACATTTTGTATTTGGATAATCTTATGATCACCTATTTTCTTTGTAACCAAAATAGGTATATAAGTTGAAATTAATTAAAAATTTTCCTGTGACCAACAAACTTGTAACTATTCACATTTTTCTTCTGGGTTATCATTGAAGTTACTAGGATACAGTTTTCCAAAGCAATGTAAATAACACATTTGGATAATTGCTTTAAAAATTTTATTGGTGAATAGAGCAATCCCTCCCCTCCAATTGGTTTGTATATCCTTGGGTGAATATTATTTATTTCTATAATGGGACAAGATTAAGCATAAATCTGCGTTCATTTTGCACTTTACAGATGTCAACACTGAGAAAACTTGTTTGTGTAAATAAGTGGACATGAATGGAAGGAGTTTTAACAGTATCATTCATTTCTATGACTCCTTCTGAGATATGTAGGAAAAAAGTACAGTAATATACCATTAAAATTATGTTATTTGGCAGTTTCATTCAATCAGATCCATTATTTTTCAATTTTATTAAAAGCAGAGAATTAAAACCACTTGACTTTCAAAAATGAGTTTACTAACCAGTCATCAGGTTCATCTGTTTTCTCAATTTATGAAAAGTGTACCAAAAAGTTTTTAAAATTAATTCCAACTATATGTTACACTTTCACGTGGAGGTATCTTGTTTAAACTAATACATTCAGAAAAGTTTGGAAAAATAGAATATTATTAATACATTATTATTAAAATTTTATGTTTTAAATATATGATTTAAACATAGCAAACCTCTGAGCTACCTCAAAGGTTGAGTAGATTTTGTGAAGAATGTCCTTCATACAACCCATTTGGTAATGCCAGGCATCAAACAAATGACACTTAATTTCTGGCAGGAAAACTCGGACTTCATTTTTCAAGTCACTGACTATATTAATAATATGTGATTTAAAACCTGAGAAACAAATGACAGAACAAATGCATGGAGGTATGTTTATTATGAAGCCAGTGAAGCATATCCAGAGCTCCTTCCTTCCAAGGTTCCTTTCTAATTTTACATAGAAAATTATGTACTTTCATGTATAATTTTGTATTATTTGTCATAATGAAAGCCTGAAAAAAAAAGACTTCAAATTATATAAGCTTTGGGACCTGTATCTCTGCCTATACATGTGAAAAAATCATGAGGGCAGTCAGGATAAGCTTAAGATGATACATATCTGGCATAATTAATTTCATATTATGAAAACATAATTTCTCATTACTTAATTTGCAATAAATAATACAGAGTAAAATATGACTAAGATTATAACTTATGAAGTGTAGGGTATGTGGTAAAAGACATGGTTATTCCTTCAGTAAATGTGTTAGGGGAAGGTAGGAAGTGAATACTGATGTATGACTTTGGGGAATAATTAGAAGCAACTTATATGAAAATCAGAAATAACTTATTTTTCATCATGATCAAAATTTTCCTATGTATTTAATGAAAACAAAAAATATATACTGCTAAAATCAAATCAGGCAATTAGCATATAGTTTTATTTTTATATTTGCAAGTAGAATAAATATTTTATACAATGCAATGAAGTTCATTAAATTTTGTGTAAATATTTTGGAATATGAGTTAATAAAATAGGTTTTAGCTAACTTAGTGAATAATAAACACTGTCTTCGTGCTTTTATGCTGCTATAACAGAATACCTGACAATGGATAATTTATAAAGAACAGAAATTTATTTCTCACACTTCTAGAGGTTAGGAGTCCATGAAAAAGGTGCTGGCAGGTTCAGGCGTCTGGTGAGAGCAGCTCTCTGCTTTCCAAGATTGAGCCTTGCTGCTGCATCCTTCAGAGAGGAGGAACGCCACGTCCTCACATGGACAAAAGTGGAAGGGCAAGAGGGGCCAAATGCTGCATGAAGCCTCTCAAAAGGGCCTTCATCTTATTCATGAGGGAGAAGCCCTCATGGCCTAATCATCTCTTAAAGGCCCCACCTGTTAATACCATCACATTGACACCCTGAATTTTGGAGGAGACACATAGCAAACACTAAATCTGAAGTCTGAAAGAACTCACATAATTTTTATTCACAGGATTTGGCCCATCATATCATTTTTTTAAAAACTCAATTTCATTTAAAAGAAACTTTGTTATCTATATTGTTTTTCTTGTTCAAAAATGCTCTTTTGTTTTAAGCTAACAATATGTTATGGCATGTCCTAGGGGTTGATGCTAATAACTAGGGGAAAACAGTGCCTCTGCTTAAATGTTTTAAAAAATTGGTGAAACAGGATTTTGGACTCCTAGAGGATCCTTATACTCTTTTTACTACAGAAGTACCCATCGGATGATCTTCGTACATTATTCTTCACCTTGTTTGATGACCTCTGTACTAGTCATGAGATAAGGATGTGACCTAAACTGTAACGATGGGTTAGGAGACTGATTTGAGATATTTCTAAGCTATACTCTAAAGGGACTTGGTGGGTCATTAGACACTGGAGTGAAAGATGAGTCAAAAATAATTAAGATTTTCAGCTTGAGCAGTTAAATAGATTGTGATGCTATTTACTGCATAAGAAACATAAAGTAATCAAGTTTTGGAAAGAGGTTGGAATTCTGTTTGCCTATAGATCTTTAATGTGGAAATGTTCTGAAAGTCTGGAGCACTAAAGAAAGTTCAAAGATATGGTTATAAATTTGGGAGACTTTAGTATATAGGTGGATGATACTATCTAAGGGAAAGCTTTTAACCAAGAGAGGAATAAATCTGATGATGAGACCTTGGGAAATCTTCAAATTAGAAGAGGCAGAAAAGAGTAGTGTTGGAAAAGTATAATGGAAAACAAAATCTCCCAACCCAGGAAACCTTTCCACAAAGATAGAAGGAAAACAATTTTATGATTGAGTAAGCATTAGAGCAGGATGTGATGTGTATCACAAGTAGTCCCCTAAGAGATTGCAAAGACAGAAGGAAATCTTACCCTTTTATATAGCCAACCTGATATAACAATCCCTTTCATTGAAGTTCTTAGGATAAACATTAGTCCTCAAGTAAGACTTGACAGCACTATTTGTCGCATACGTAGTTTATTCTAAATTCACTTGCTAATTGGAGTGACTTTGCTAATTGGTTTTATATAAAGGTAAAAAAACACTTTTCATATCTTCATGACAGGAGATAGTTTTGCAGCTTGGAAGGAGGCTCCTGCTGAAGTGAGGCTTCTACGCTCCCACAGAAACTGGGATTAAGGGCGCTATCTTCCTTGATGACTGTATTCCCAAGAGATGGTTACAGGTTCTTGAGAAAGACATTCATGGGTCATTCATGCCATAAAGCTGGCAAGAGGCTTTGAAGCAAGAGATTTTTAAAAGATTTACATACATTTCAAAAAGATAAAGAATTTGCAAGTTTTCTGAATGCTCTAAGAACAAAGAAGGAAGAGTCTTTCTTTTCTTATTTTCAACAGGGGGAATTAATTTTGTTTCTTTTTAAATTTGTATTTACCCTTACATATGTGATAGAACAGACAGAAAAAAACAGCTGTGGAAATGTGCGGGAAATTACAATGAGTGCTATATGAAAACCAGAGGAAAAGCGTATTTTACAAGGAGTGAGGGAATGAATAGTGCTGTCTTCAAGAACATTACTTTCCCCTTGTCGGATAAAATTAACATACATTTGATACTAACATAACTAGATATGTAAAATTTGTAAAGACTAAATATAAAAAGAATATAGCATTAGGGTGTTTAATTATGTAGTGTGGACAGCCAGTACTATAGGAAACCTATGGCCTGAGGGCAATAAGACCTGGAGTAGGCAGGGAAGGATTTGTGGAAATAAGGAAACTTAAATGGTATTTTGAAGGAGAGATTAAACCTATGTAATTCACATTTTTAATGTCATCAGTCCAAAACACATCTCTGTAGCTGTGTCTATAATAAAGATAAACTTAGCAATGGAACCATGATACTCCCAGTCCACTGGGCCAAAACTTTCCCTTGGATAGTGTTAATGCTTGAGTGAACAATGGCACCATTTCTGTGACTTTTCACTTTCTGTATTCCTTCTCATAGTCACCCCCTCTTCTGATTAACAGGTTTTTTCTTTTACAGCTTTAAGTCTTGCCTTGGAACCATTTTTTTTTTTTTTCTGCAGGATACTTATATGGATTCATTTAAAGCTTAACTTGCAAAGGGCAGCTTATTTTCACTTCTTAGAAGGTACCCTGTAGTTAACCTTGGTGCTGTCTATAGAGACAAAAATAAATTTCTTTGGATTTTAGTTATCTTTCTATGTCAGAGGTTCCCAAGACCACCCCCAGGTTGACGATTTGCTAGGAAGACTCACAGGACTCAGCATATATCCATATTCATGGTTATGATTCATTATAGGAAAATAACACAAAGCAAAATTAGGCACTCTCTGCCTGGCACATACTAAACTTACAGACTCCCAGAAGAAAAGTAGATGTTAGTATAAACCGTATTATTTGCACAAATAATCTAGGCATAGTGAGTCACTCTTATTCAGGGAATTGTTGAATCCCTCCTGAAATCTAAGCTCACAGGTGCCAGGCAAAAAGGTCCTTTTAATCATAGAAGCCTCAGGCCTGCTGTGATAACTCTTTTCTCTACACTTTTAAAAAATTTATTTATACAATGATTTGCAGGTAAAATCAAGAGTCCACATATCAAATTAACTGTCTTTTAAGTGTTCTTCATATATTACAGGTATGCTCCAGAATCACTGACAGAGAGCAAGTTTTCTGTGGCCTCAGATGTTTGGAGCTTTGGAGTGGTTCTGTATGAACTTTTCACATACATTGAGAAGAGTAAAAGTCCACCAGCGGTCAGTGTGCTTTTTATTTACTTTCAGTTTTTTGTTTGTTCGTTTGATTTTTATAAATTATGGGGTACAATTACAATTTTGCTACATGCATACATTGCATAGTGGTGAACTCAGAGCTTTTAGGGTATCTACCACCTTAATAACATACATTGTACCCTTAAATAATTTCTCAGCATCTACCCCACCAATGGCTCACCCTTCCAAGTCTCCATTGTCTGTCATTCCACATTCTACGTCCATGTGTATACATTATATAGCTCCCACTTATAAGTGAGAACATGTGGTATTTGTCTTTCTATGGCTGATTTGTTTCACTTAAGATAATTACCTCCATCCATGTTGCTACCAAAGACATAATTTCATTTGTTTTTATGGCGGAGTAGTATTCCATTGGGTATGTATACCACATCTTCTTTATCCAGTCATCTATTGATGGACACTTAGGTTGATTCCATGTCTTTGCTTTTGTGAATAATGCTGCAATAAACATACAGGTGGAGGTATCTTTTTGATACAGTCATTTCTTTTCCTTCAGGTAGATACCCCATAGTGGAAATACTGGATCAAATGGTAGTTCTACTTTTGGGTCTCTCAGGAATCTTTATGTTTTCCATAGAGGTTGTATAAATGTACATTCCCAGCAACAGTGTATAAGAGTTCCCTTTTCTCCACACCCTTGCCAACATCTGTTATTTTCTCTCTCTCTTTTTTTTTTTTCTTCCCATTCTGACTGGAGTAAGACATATCTCACTGTGGTAATTTTTTTCTCTTTTTTTTTTTTGTCATTCTGACTGGAATAAGGCATATCTCATTGTAATTTTAATTTGCATTTCTCTGGTGATTAGCATTTTTTCATATGCCTCTTGTCCTTTTGGGTGTCTTCTTTTGAAAAATGTCTACTGATCTCCTTTGTCCAGTTTTTAACATGATTACTAGGGGGTTTTGGTTGAATTCCTTGAGTTCCTTATAAATTCTGAATGGTAGTTCCTTATCAGATACAAAATTTGCAAATATTTTCTCCTATTCTGCAGGCTTTCTGTTCATTCTGTTGATTTTTTGCTATGCTGAAATTTTTTAGTTTGATAAAGTCTCATTTGTCTGTTTTTGGTTTTGTTGCCTACGCTTTTGAGGTCTTTGCCATTCTTTGTTTATACCCATTTCCATAAAAGTTTTCCCTAGGTTTTTTTTTCTAGTATTTTTATAGTTTCAGATCTTACAGTTAAGTCTATAATCGATCTTGAGTTAATTTTTATATATGGTGATAAATATGGGTCCAGTTTCATTCTTCGGCATATGGCAATCCAATTTACCAGCACCATTTATTGAAAAGGGTGTCCTTTCCCATACTGCCCAAAGCAATCTGCAGATTCATTGCAGTTCCTATCAAAATGCCAATATCATTTTTCCACAGAATTAGGAAAAACAATCCTAAAAGTCACATGGAACCAAAAAGAGCCCTAATAGCAAAAGCGATTCTAAGCAAAAAGAACAAAGCTGGAAGCATCACATTACTTGACTTCAAATTATATTATAAGGCTACAGTAACAAAAGCATCATGGTACTCATGTAAAAAACAAACACATAAACCAATGGAACATAATAGAGAACCCGGAAATAAAGCCACATATTTATAGCCAATTGATCTTTGACAAAATCGACAAGAACATACATTGAATTTTTTTTTTTTTAATTTTTGTTTTTTTGTATTTTTGTACAGATGGAGTTTCACCATGTTGGCCAGGCTGGTCTTGAACTCCTGACCTCTTGATCCGCCAGCCTTGACCTCCCAAAGTGCTGGGATTACAGGCGTGAGTCACCGTGCTCAGCCTAAAACTTTAATTCTATTCACGTTATTTATTTATTTTATTTATTTATTTTTTATTATACTTTAAGTTCTAGGGTACATGTGCACAATGTGCAGGTTTGTTACATATGTATACTTGTGCCATGTAGGTGTGCTGCACCCATCAACTTGTCAGCACCTATCAACTCGTCATATACATCAGGTATAACTCCCAATGCCATCCCTCCCCCCTCCCCCCTCCCCATAATAGGCCCCAGTGTGTGATGTTCCCCTTCCAGAGTCCAAGTGATCTCATTGTTCAATTCCCACCTATGAGTGAGAACATGCGGTGTTTGGTTTTCTGTTCTTGTGATAGTTTGCTGAGAATGATGGTTTCCAGCTGCATCCATGTCCCTACAAAGGACACGAACTCATCCTTTTTTATGGCTGCATAGTATTCCAAGGTATATATGTGCCACATTTTCTTAATCCAGTCTGTCACTGATGGACATTTGGGTTGATTCCAAGTCTTTGCTATTGTGAATAGTGCCGCAATAAACATACGTGTGCATGTGTCTTTATAGAAGCATTATTTATAATCCTTTGGGTATATACCCAGTAAAGGGATGTCTGGGTCATATGGTATTTCTAGTTCTAGATCCTTGAGGAATTGCCATACTGTTTTCCACAATGGTTAAACCAGTTTACAATCCCACCAACAGTGTAAAAGTGTTCCTATTTCTCCACATTCTCTCCAGCACCTGTTGTTTCCTGACTTTTTAATGATTGCCATTCTAACTGGTGTGAGATGGTATCTCATTGTGGTTTTGATTTGCATTTCTCTGATGGACAGTGATGATGAGCATTTTTTTATGTACCTGTTGGCTGTATACATGTCTTCTTTTGAGAAATGTCTGTTAATATCCTTTGCCCACTTTTTGATGGGGTTGTTTTTTTCTTGTAAATTTGTTTGAGTTCTTTGTAGATTCTGGATATTAGCCCTTTGTCAGATGAGTAGATTGCAAAAATGTTCTCCCATTCTGCAGGTTGCCTGTTCACTCTGATGGTAGTTTCTTTTGCTGTGCAGAAGCTCTTTAGTTTAATTAGATCTCATTTGTCAATTTTGGCTTTTGTTGCCATTGCTTTTGGTGTTTTAGACATGAAGTCCTTGCCCATGCCTATGTCCTGAATGATATTACCTAGGTTTTCTTCTAGGGTTTTTATGGTTTTAGGTCTAACATTTAAGTCTCTAATCCATCTTGAATTAATTTTCATATAAGGAGTAAGGAAAGGATCCAGTTTCAGCTTTCTGCTTATGGCTAGCCAATTTTCCCAGAACCATTTATTAAATAGGGAATCCTTTCCCCATTTCTTGTTTTTGTCAGGTTTGTTAAAGATCAGATAGCTGTAGATGTGTGGTATTATTTCTGAGGGCTCTCTTCTGTTCCATTGGACTATATCTCCGTTTTGGTACCAGTACCATGCTGTTTTGGTTACTGTAGCCTTGTTGTATAGTTTGAAGTCAGGTAGTGTGATGCCTCCAGCTTTGTTCTTTTGACTTAGGATTGTCTTGGCAATGCGGGATCTTTTCTGATTCCATATGAACTTTAAAGCAGTTTTTTCCAATTCTGTGAAGAAACTCATTGGTAGCTTGATGTGAGTGGCATTGAATCTATAAATTACCTTAGGCAGTATGGCCATTTTCACGATGTTGATTCTTCCTATCCATGAGCATGGTATGTTCTTCCATTTGTTTGTGTCCTCTTTTATTTCACTGAGCAGTGGTTTGTAGTTCTCCTTGAAGAGGTCCTTTACATCCCTTGTAAGTTGGATTCCTAGGTATTTTATTCTCTTTGAAGCAATTGTGAATGGAAGTTCATTCATGATTTGCCTCTCTGTTTGTCTGTTACTGGTGTATAAGAATGCTTGTGATGTTTGCACATTAATTTTGTATCCTGAGACTTTGCTGAAGTTGCTCATCAGCTTAAAGAGATTTTGGGCTGAGACAATGGGGTTTTCTAAATATACAATCATGTCATCTGCAAACAGGGACAATTTGACTTCTTCTTTTCCTAACTGAATACCCTTGATTTCTTTCTCTTGCCTGATTGCCCTAGCCAGAACTTCCAACACTATTTTGAATAGGAGTGGTGAGAGAGGGCATCCCTGTCTTGTGCCAGTTTTCAAAGGGAATGCTTCCAGTTTTTGCCCACTCAGTATGATATTGGCTGTGAGTCTGTCATAAATAGCTCTTATTATTTAGAGATACGTTCCATCAATATCAAATTTATTGAGCGTTTTTAGCATGAAGGGCTGTTGAATTTTGTCAAAGGCTTTTTCTGCATCTATTGAGATAATCATGTGGGTTTTCTCTTTGGTTCTGTTTATATGCTGGATTACGTTTTTTGATTTGCGTATGGTGAACCAGCCTTGCATCCCAGGATGAAGCCCACTTGATCATGGTGGATAAGCTGTTTGATGTGCTGCTGGATTCAGTTTGCCAGTATTTTTATTGAGGATTTTTGCATCGATGTTCATCAGGGATATTGGTCTAAAATTCTCTTTTTTTGTTGTGTCTCTGCCAGGCTTTGGTATCAGGATGATGTTGGCCTCATAAAATGAGTTAGGGAGGATTCCCTCTTTTTGTATTGATTGGAATAGTTTCAGAAGGAATGGTACCAGCTCCTCCTTGTACCTCCAGTAGAATTCGGCTGTGAATCCATCTGGTCCTGGACTTTTTTTGGTTGGTAGGCTATTAATTATTGCCTCAATTTCAGAGCCTGCTATTGGTCTATTCAGGGATTCAACTTCTTCCTGGTTTAGTCTTGGGAGAGTGTAAGTGTCCAGGAAATTATCCATTTCTTCTAGATTTTCTAGTTTATTTGCGTAGAGGAGTTTATAGTATTCTCTGATAGTAGTTTGTATTTCTGTGGGGTCGGTGGTGATATCCCCTCTATCATTTTTTATTTCGTCTATTTGATTCTTCTCTCTTCTTTATTAGTCTTGCTAGTGGTCTATCAATTTTGTTGACCTTTTCAAAAAACCAACTCCTGGAATCATTGATTTTTTGGAGGGTTTTTTTGTGTCTCTATCTCCTTCAGTTCTGCTCTGATCTTAGTTATTTCTTGCCTTCTGCTAGCTTTTGAATGTGTTTGCTCTTGCTTCTCTAGTTCTTTTAATTGTGATGTTAGGGTGTCAATTTTAGATCTTTCCTGCTTTCTCTTGTGGGCACTTAGTGCTATAAATTTCCCTCTACACACTGTTTTAAATGTGTCCCAGAGATTCTGGCATGTTGTATCTTTTTCTCATTGGTATAAAAGAACATCTTTATTTTTGCCTTCATTTCGTTATGTACCCGGTAGTCATTCAGGAGCAGGTTGTTCAGTTTCCATGTGGTTGAGCGGTTTTGATTGAGTTTCTTACTCCTGAGTTCTAGTTCGATTGCACTGTGGTCTGAGAGACAGTTTGTTATAATTTGTGTTCATTTACATTTGCTGAGGAGTGCTTCACTTCCAACTATGTGGTCAATTTTGGAATAAGTGTGATGTGGTGCTGAGAAGAATGTATATTCTGTTGATTTGGGGTGGAGAGTTCTGTAGATGTCCATTAGGTCCACTTGGTGGAGAATTGAGTTCAATTCCTGGATATCCTTGTTAACTTTCTGTCTCATTGAGCTGTCTAATGTTGACAGTGGGGTGTTCAAGTCTCCCATTGTTATTGTATGGGAGTCTAAGTCTTTTTGTAAGTCTCTAAGGACATGGTTTATGAATCTGGGTGCTCCTGTATTGGGCACATATATATTTAGGAGTTAGCTCTTCTTGTTGAATTGATCCCTTTACCATTATGTAATGGCCTTCTTTGTCTCTTTTGATCTTTGATGGTTTAAAGTCTGTTTTATCAGAGACTAGGATTGCAACCCCTGCTTTTTTTGTTCTCCATTTGCTTGGTAGATCTTCCTCCATCCCTTTATGTTGAGCCTATGTGTGTCTCTGCATGTGAGTCTCCTGAATACAGCAAACTGATGGGTCTTGACTCTTTATCCAGTTTGCCCATCTGTGTCTTTCAATTGGACCATTTGGTTCATTTACATTTAAGGTTAATATTGTTATGTGTGATCTTGATCCTGTCATTGTGATATTAGCTGGTTATTTTGCTCATTAGTTAATGCAGTTTCTTCCTAGCATCAATGGTCTTTACATTTTGGCATGTTTTTGCAATGGCTGGTACTGGTTGTTCCTTTCCATGTTTAGTGCTTCCTTCAGGGTCTCTTGTAGGGCAGGCTTGGTGGTGACAAAATCTCTAAGCATTTGCTTGTCTGTAAAGGATTTTATTTCCCCTTCACTTATGAAACTTAGTTTGGCTGGATATGAAATTCTGGGTTTAAAATTCTTTTCTTTAAGAATGTTGAATATCGGCCCCCACTCTTCTGGCTTATAGAGTTTCTGCCGAGAGATCTGCTGTTAGTCTTATGGGCTTCCCTTTGTGGGTAACCTGACCTTTCTCTCTGGCTGCCCTTAACATTTTTTCCTTCATTTCAACTTTGGTGAATCTGACAATTATGTGTCTTGGGGTTGCTCTTCTCAAGGAATATCTTTGTGGCGTTCTTTGTATTTCCTCAATTTGAATGTTGGCCTACCTTACTAGGTTGGAGAAGTTCTCCTGGATGATATCCTGAAGAGTGTTTTCCAACTTGGTTCCATTTTCCCCCTCACTTTCAGGCACACCAATCAGACATAGATTTGGTCTTTTCACATAATCCCATACTTCTTGGAGGCTTTGTTAATTTCTTTTTCCTTTTTTTCCTCTAGACTTCTCTTCTCGTTTCATTTCCTTCATTTGATCTTCAATCATTGATACTCTTTCTTCCAGTTGATCGAGTCGGTTAGTGAAGCTTGTGCATTTGTCACGTATTTCCCGTGTCATGGTTTTTATCTCTCTCAGTTCGTTTATGGCCTTCTCTGCATTGATTATTCTAGTTATCCATTCTTCCATTCTTTTTTCAAGATTTTTAGTTTCTTTGCGCTGGTTACATAGTTCCTCCTTTAGCTCTGCGAAATTTGATCCACAGAAGCCTTCTCTCAACTCGTTGAAGTCATTCTCCGTCCAGCTTTGATCAGTTGCTGGCGATGAGCTGCGTTCCTTTGGAGGGGGAGATGCGCTCTGATTTTTTGAATATCCAGCTTTTCTGCCCTGCTTTTTCCCCATCTTTGTGGTTTTATCTGCCTTTGGTCTTTTATGCTGGTGACGTACTGATGGAGTTTTGGTGTGGGTGTCGTTTCTGTTTGTTAGTTTTCTTTCTAACAGTCAGGACCCTCAGCTGTACATCTGTTGGAGATTGCTTGAGGTCCACTCCAGACCCTGTTTGCCTGGGTATCAGCAGCGGAGGCTGCAGAAGATAGAATATTGCTGAACAGCGAGTGCTGCTGTCTGATTCTTGCTCTGGAATCTTCATCTCAGGGGTGTACCCAGCCGTGTGAGGTGTTAGGTGTCGGTCTACACCTCAGTGGAAAATGCAGAAATCACCCATCTTCTGTGTCGCTCACGCTGGGAGCTGGAGGCTGGAGCTGTTCCTATTCGGCCATCTTCTGATCTGTCCTTGGATGAAAATTTTTCTTCTAAATTGCAGAGTAGAGAGGAAACTGGTTCTCTTTTATGGTTCACACTATTTATTCTGCTTTAATAGAATTTGTGGCCACTTCAAATTTGATGCTGGTTCTTTATTTTTCTGATTCACTTTTAGTTAGCTGTGTGATCTTGAGCAGGCTACTTAATCCCTCTGTGCCTCGGTTTCTTCATCACAAAAGGTATCTTGGTATGGGATAGAATGCCAACTACAGCCACATTAGAAACAAACAGGTATGTCCATGCCACGAAGCCCGTGCTCTGTGTGGCAGCCCTGGAGACAGCCAAGCCCCCACCTCCGCCCCCTGCCCAGCTCTGGCCGCCAGCCCCTGTCCGCCGATGCCGCGGTTTCCTAGACAGCCACATTGAAGTTTTTTAACATAAGAAAGGATTTATCCAAAGAACAGTAAGCCTAGGACTTATTTTGGAGCTCTTATTGCTTATTTTTAAGGCAATATCCAACAAAATAACCCCAAACTTATTCACAAAGTAGCTTGAATTTTTTAAAAAGGGAGTATTGGGAAACTTAGTATAGTCTCTTAATATTATTTTTATTAAATCCAGTTAGCTCATTCATTGTAGGAATTATTGCATAAGTTAAAATAAACCTTCCAAAGTAATTTTTCTCTGGGTCATCATAGAATTTTTTTAATATGGAAAAGTATGAAAAAATAAAAATCATCTCTAATGCAATTACTCGGAGAAGACCACCTTAATACTGTAGTATGTTATCTTTCAGGCTTCTTTTTATTTTGTGTATAAAAGTATATACAAAAAATTATATGAAACTTTTATAACTTTTATATATATAAATATACATTATTTTATAAAATTAAGGTCATACTGTGCAGTTTGCTCTCCTGCTGTTTCATGAAGTATTACAGCATGGATAATTTACTATATTAGGAAAATGTACTGCAAATGTGTTTTCTAATTGCTGAGTAGCATTCCATCATAAGGCTATATATGTCTATAACAATCATTTTCCATTCTTCAGTCATTTAAGTAACACTTTAGTGAACATAGTGAATATCCTCATGCATATTTATATTTATCTCTGGTAAGTATCTTAGAATAAAAATAAAAGTTATGAACTATTTTAAAGGTTTTAATTCCAAAATGCTTTCTAGAAAAGCTGTGCCAGATTATATCTCAGCAGCAATGCATAGGGATGTACATTTCATCATTTGCCAGTATTGGTCATTATATTTTTATGTACTTTTGCCAAGTTGATAGGGGAGAGGTTATATATATTTTAATTTCCATTTCTTTTATTAATGTGATTGACTATGTATTTGTTGGGTGTTTAGGGCGAGTATGTATATATGTGAAGTATGTCTTCTGTGATTTGCCTATCTTTATATATATATATATATATTTTTTTTTTAACCAATTTATAAGATCTCTCTACATTGAAAATAAGTAAATGATTAAGTTTTGGTTTTTTTTTTTTTTTTTTTTTGAGACGGAGTCTTGCTCTGTCACCCAGGCTGGAGTGCAGTGGCCGGATCTGGGCTCACTGCAAGCTCCGCCTCCCAGGTTTACGCCATTCTCCTGTCTCAGCCTCCCAAGTAGCTGGGACTACAGGCGCCCGCCACCTCGCCCGCCTAGTTTTTTGTATTTTTTAGTAGAGATGGGGTTTCACCGTGTTAGCCAGGATGGTCTTGATCTCCTGACCTCGTGATCCGCCCATCTCGGCCTCCCAAAGTGCTAGGATTACAGGCTTGAGCCACCGCGCCTAGCCTTTTTTCCTAGCTTATAATTCAGATTTTAATTTTATAAACTTTGACATATGAAAGTTTTCTGTTGCATTTATACTTATTCATTTTTTCTTATATTGTTTTATATTCGTTTTTATTTCAATTGAAATGTAATATAAAAATGTGAGTTTTTTAACAACAAAAAACTCAAAGGAAATATGTTTTTAGTTCATGTGTTTTGAGCCCTTCTCAGTGGATTTGTGGTGTTTATTACAGCTATGGAAATGGAAATTATAGAAGTTCCATATTTAACAGCCTTATGTTTTTGATCCTAAAAGTAGCCTCTTTTGAAAAGGTTTGAAAACATACAAAAGCACACATATACTAAATTTTTCCCATTGACTGGAGGAAATTGAGAAATAATTTTGCTACAAATTAAATGTACAAAAAATATTGAAAATGGGTTTGTTTTAGGAATTTATGCGTATGATTGGCAATGATAAACAAGGACAGATGATCGTGTTCCATTTGATAGAACTTTTGAAGAATAATGGAAGATTACCAAGACCAGATGGATGCCCAGATGAGGTAAACATTTTTTTTTTTTAAATCCATGTTAATCATGCATTTTATTTTACTTTTTACTCAAAGACTTCAGTTCACTTTCTGAAATTTAATTTGCGGAGCTTCCAGATAAACAGCATAATCAGATGACTGTGGAACAAGGCATAGTTATGACATGTACCCTGTATTGAAAATTAATGTCTTCCACCAATTAAAAGATGGTCCTTAGTGTTCCTTGTAATTTTGGTTTATTTTCTCCTTTACAGATTTATATGATCATGACAGAATGCTGGAACAATAATGTAAATCTACGCCCCTCCTTTAGAGATCTAGCTCTTCGAGTGGATCAAATAAGGGATAACATGGCTGGATGAAAGAAATGTCCTTCATTCTGAGAACAAAGTATATTTATAGAACAAAGTTTTCTATTTCACATTGCTGTGGACTATTATTACATATATCATTATTATATAAATCATGATGCTAGCCAGCAAAGATGTGAAAATATCTGCTCAAAACTTTCAAAGTTTAGTAAGTTTTTCTTCATGAGGTCACCAGTAAAAGACATTAATGAGAATTCCTTAGCAAGGAGTTTTGTAAGAAGTTTCTTAAACATTGTCAGTTAACATCACTCATGTCTGGCAAAAGAAAAAAAAAAGACTTTTTCACCTCAGCTTTTTGAGATGTGAAAAAATTATTATGTAAATTTTGTGATGTTAAAGATGCACAGAATATGTATGTATAGTTTTTACCACAGTGGATGTATAATACCTTGGCATCTTGTGTGATGTTTTATACACATGAGGGCTGGTGTTCATTAATACTGTTTTCTAATTTTTCCATAGTTTATCTATAACTACTTCACTATACAAACAAATTAGATGTTCAGATAATTGAATAAGTACCTTTGTGTCCTTGTTCACTTATATCACTGGCCAGCATTATAAGCAGGTGTATACTTTTAGCTTGTGTACTGTAAATATTTTTCAAGTAAAGGGAACAAATGTCTAGTTTTATTTCTATAGGAAATTTCCCTGACCCTAAAGAATACATTTTGAAATGAAACAAGCTTACAAAGATATAATCTATTTTCTTATGGTTTCCCTTGTATCTATTTGTGGTGAATGTGTTTTTTAAATGGAACTATCTCCAAATTTTTCTAAGACTACTGTGAACAGTTTTCTTTTAAAATGTTGAGATTAAGAATGCGAGGAACATTGTCATCCTTTGAGCTGCTGACTGCCAATAAGATTCTTCAATCTCTGAGATCTATGCTCATGAATTAAATTTAAGCATAAGCCATAAAATATATTGTTTTTAAAATGGATAGCACATTAAGAAGTGTAGCAGGTTAAGAATTTTTTCCTAAAGATTGTATATTTGAGGGGTTTCAGAACTTTGCGTTGCAGTCATAGAAGAGATTTATTTCCTTTTTAGAGGGAAAATGAGGTAAGTGAAAAAGTATGCTTGTTAATTTTATTCAAGAATGCCAGTAGAAAATTCATAATGTGTATCTTTAAGAAAAATGAGAGCATACATCTTTCCAATTAAGTATAAGGGGTTGTTCGTTGTTGTCATTTGTTATATTGCTACTCCACTTTAGACACCATACCTAAAATAAAATATGGTGGGTTTTTCGTGTGTGTGTGGGTTATTTATACAAAACTTAAAATACTTGCTATTTTGATTAAAAAGAAAATAGTTTCTTACTTTATTTTTAGTGGTATGTTCTACTTTTTTAAAACTTGTACTGAAGACTTCTCATTTTGGGTTGAAGGGAAGGAAAAGGAAGAAATGTTTTTTACATTCATTATACTTAAAGCATTTTAATAGTTCTGGATGCAGAAATAATCTAAAATGACAGTGAATTAGGTTTTAAAAAAGATTTTAGATTTTTTTGAAAATTTAATTTTTATTTAATTTGTAAAGACTCCTGAAGGATTTGTATATGCAACACAGTTAAGAGATTTTCCATTTTACTACCTTGCAAGTGAAAAATAGCCTATCATATAATATGCTTGATTTCAGATTTTCATACTAAAACTTAAGTACATACTTAAAAAGTAGGTTCTTCTCAAGGATCTCTAACATTCTGTTTTTTAAAACAAGATGTGAACTAACTTAAAGTTTTTTAAAAATGCTTCATCTTTTAGTTTTATATAAAGAATCCCACATGTACATTCTTGTTTTTAAAATGGGATGACTACCTTATTATAAAATTCCAAGTTTCCAAGAGACTTCTTTTCATTGAGGCTTCGTAAAGTTTTCCATTTTGATTCTGACTACACATAAAAATAAGCTAACCCTGTAGCTATTAAGTTGGTTTTGTACAAGAAACAGGTAAGTAATTATCGTAGCAGTTAATGCCAAAATATTTTTTCACATTAATATTCTTCAGAAACAAGGGTAAAGGTATTCTTAGAATTATGTAATTCTGTAACTTTACAGTATATTAAGTTATACAATCTTTCTATAAATGATTTTCTTTTTCCATGGGTACTTGCTTGGAAAATAGTCACTTTTTCATGCTATTTATACATGCTGCCAGTAACACTGTAATTTGCTGTGAAAGAGCATTCTTTTAACCTAAGACTGCTACTTTACAGTCAAGTGTAATTTTTATTACAACTATAACTTCTAGTATTTGAATTTTATTTAAACAGCTAGAAAATAGTTAGAAAATACCTACAGTTCTATATCTGTAGAGCCAGTCTCCATGGTGGGTGTGGCATTATGTGCTCAATTTATTGAGACTACGTTAATTTCTTTACCATGTTCCCCCTAAATTGAAATAGTGATGTAGTAAATATTCAGAAGTGATTTTCTTTTGCATTTTTACCTAATCAAGGAAACGGGCCACACACATTGGTTTAGGGATGTTATGATAGTTTACCTTCCAGTTTTTAAGAAATGCTTCCTACAACTGCTATCAACCACTGTACTGTCTTTAATGAACATTGTTGTATCCCACCCTAATTCTTGTATTCAAATTATTTCTCATGAAAGTTTCTCTAATATTTCTAATGAAAGTTTCTCTAATTTTGGGGAATAATTTACTAAGAATCAGTTTGCTGTATATTAGAATAAATAATAACAGTAAGTCAGCAGGATTATCCAAACAAAAGACTAGGTTTTATGAGATAAGCTTGATTTAAGAAAAAAACAATTAAAGTATGAATATCAGAAATACTGTGTGTTTACTCTCAAATTGTAGCTGGTTGGATTTAATATCAAGATAACTAGCTGCTAAATGTTTCATAATTCTGACAGTGATATTAGATTTCAAAATGACACCAAGAGAACGGAAAAACTACATTAGTCAAATCCATGTATGTATGTCATATAGCCTTTAACTTTTTACATTAATCAGATTCTTAGTAAAATGCACATTATATGCCTAAATATTAAAATATTTACTTTTATAATCTTACCTTTTATTTTACTATAATATAAATAAAATTCTTCTTAGGTTAAAAAATTAATTCCAATTGTGTTTATGCCAGATGGCATTGCTTAATTGCTGCAGGCTCTCAATACGTTTCATTCTTTTTTATACTCTTTCACATTTTTAAGGAAAAGCCTTACCTCCAACTGAAACACCAGTCTTACTAATACGGTTTTAAAAGTTGTTAATGGTCATTATCTATTATAAGGCCTTTATTTATATAACAAATTGCTTAACATTTTATTTTTAATATAACTGTAACAGATTTTTAAAATGAGACCTTCAAAAGAGCTCTAAGAGTCCCTGTTCTAGTTATTTGCATTACAAGCTTCTGTGAATGTTTTAATTTTAATACCAGTAGTAGGAAGATAATGGCAGTAGAAGCACGCATATACACGCTATTTATTGAGGTAAAGTCATCTTTGAGCAGTGTGAACAGACAGAAGCATAGCTTTTAGATCTGAATGATTGGTAAATAACAACAAATAAATCAAGGTGGTATGGGAAAATGGTAGAGCAGGCATATTATAGAGACAACAGGAAGCTAAGACGGCAAATTATCCATTGCAGATGATAAGATCTTGTCAAACACTAAAAACCCAAAGTGTGAAATGGAAAAATCTATTGATCAGTTATTTATCTTTTCAAGCACAATTGTATACATAGATGAAAATGTTTAGGTGCTTTTCATACACAGATAATTAAATATATGGTATTTAATAATAAAAAAGTTTAAGGTCCTTCAAATACTTGAGGTATGTATTATGGAAACTCAGGGTATGAATTTTCTAGGAGCATGTAATATAAGATTGTGAGTTGGAATTTATTTACTGAAATGAAAAACAATGAAGTTAAATCAAAGATACTAAAGCAAATGGAAAGATAACCTAACAAGGCACTCAATAATGAAAATACTTAGTGGAATACTACTTGAAGTATACATATCATACTTTCTTCCTCTGCTTAATAATTTTGTTGAAGGTTGTTATTACAATGGGCTTTTATTGGCTATCCTAAATTTTAAGTATATTAGAACAAAATTTATTATTATGTCCTTAGTAACATTTAAGACCCCTCATTTTTGATTAGAGAAAAAAGTTATTTACAGAATCAAAGGCTTCACCTTGATTTTTAAGAAAAAATAACTGAATTCTCTAACACCACGAGTTAATTTTTTTTTTTTTTTTGAGACAGAGTTTTACTCGTGTTGTCCAGGCAATGGTGCGATCTCGGCTCACTGCAACCTCCGCCTCCTGGGTTCAAGCAATTCTCCTGCCTCAGCCTCCTGAATAGCTGGGATTACAGGTGCCCGCCACCATGCCTGGCTAATTTTTTGTATTTTTAGTAGAGACAGGGTTTCACCATGTTGGTCAGTCTGGTCTTGAACTCCTGGCCTCAGGTGATCCAACTGCCTCGACCTCCCAAAGTGCCGGGATTACAGGTGTGAGCCACTGCACCCAGCCCAGTTAACAATTTTAATCTGCATAACCAAGGTATATAAGCCATCATGTGCAGGTTGTAGGGAGCCCACAGCTAAATGACAATAATTGGATTGTGTTGATTGTTAGCACTTACTGACTACAGTTAAGAGGCATTTAAAAATTAAAATACAGTGAGCTGAGATCCGGCCACTGCACTCCAGCCTGGGCGGCAGAGCAAGACTCCGTCTCAAAAAAAAAAAAAAAAAAAAAATTAAAATAGTATTTCCCATAAATTGTCAGAATTGTTTTTTTAAAAGCTGTTATAAATCCTTACTCCTATCAATAATTTTGAAGACAGTGTGAATCTCATGGTACCACTTTTTTACCTTTATTACTTTTATAACAGTGCTTTGCAGTTTGTTGAATAGAAACTCTTGATAATAAGAGTAAAGGTTGTTGACAAACTTGAAACTGAGTTTTACCTTCTTATTGAAGGACTTAGAAAAATGTTGAAGTTGAATCCTAGAACACTGAGCATACCATTATTCCTTAATAAGGCATCATTCATTTTAAAAGTTATTTCAGAGAAAGAAAATTCTAAAAATTGAGACTTTACTATACAGGACAATCCTTTTCTGAAACATAGTTTGGAAATCTGAAATCTAAAGAATGATGAACATTGTGCTAGGAAAAAAGAATTTCAGTTTCTATCATCTAAGATCATTCACATTTAATGGGAATTTTTTTCCAACATCTTCAGTTTCTCTTATTTTAAAACTACTGTCCTAAACGTGGAAGGTGAGAGTATGGACAACACAATCAAATGCCAAAAATACCTTGGTTCTAGTAATTGTCTAGGCCATTCTCTCATAGTTGCTCCAACAACTTAGCTATTTAACAATCAGATTCTTAGTAAAACATTTTTCTCTTTCTTAAAAAAAAAGACTATCCATATTGCATACCACTTCAGACTTTTCTACATATGCATTCACCCATCAATACTGACAGTGCAAGCTATGTACAACTTCAGGTTGCATCAGATAACTCATATTAATGGGTATAGTAGTGAAAGTATGATCTCCAAAGTATATTTATAAAGTCCTAAATCTTGTTCAACATATTAATAATAAAGAAGAGTAGATAAACTAATTATGGATGTAGCAAAGGAATCCTGGATAATCTTACTTGAGGGTGAATCCTGATGGTGTATCAATTTAGAATTCCCTGTTAAACATTCAGACAAAATTAGAAGATTACAACTTTCAGTTCTACTGCAGCTCTGGGAATATGAGCCCTAATCATAGTTTTCAGGGAGCCTAATTTGGTGTGGCCTCAAATAATCTCATCATCCATAAAGATCCCAGAGAAAGGTTATCTTGGACCTGGGGTAGTGAGAGTTAGAATTTCATATATTCTCTGTAGGGCATGATTTTTTCAGCAGACGTGTTATACCTCCAAGAGTGTGAAAATTGATGTTGGAGGATGAAAAAAATCATATAAAGCACAGAAATACAGTACAAAAACAGATACGCAGTGGTATTAGAGTGTCATGGTAGAGGAAATTAGGGAAAGATGTCTAAAATGTTCCTGGTGGGGAAGTTGGGGGAGGCTAATGCAAAAAAAAAGTTGAGAAACACTACTTTAGAGTGTGCTCATATGGACACAGGTCAAACTAGGACTACCTCAGAAATAACCTCAATAAGATAGGGCAGATATGACAGTGTCAGAAAAGCTAAGAGTACTTGATCTTTAAATAAATACTTAATGTTACT